GCGAGGTGCTAACATGCCTCCAACCTCACACGCGTACCACTGAGCCGACATGTATTTAGCGCTGACTCTGCGTCGGGCACCGCGCAGACGTTTGTTTCCCAGGGCCTCACGGCCACTCCGCAGAGTATTGTTGCTCCGACTGGGTGGGTGTGGAGACAGAGACTCTGTCAAGGTCACAGAGGGAGTAAGGGGCAGAGGCATGGTCTGCAGCCAGAGCACTCGTCTCAGAAGCCCAGCTCTTGCCTCTGCACAACGCTGCCCTGCCAAGACGAGGGAGAGAACAAGGGCTTCGCTTTGGCGGCTGTTTGTGAACTTGACCTTCATATTCATAGAGCTAGACTTTATGTGGATAAACACATTGAAAGGTGGGAGGTACAGTTTACTTCATCTCTCCTCTCCCTCCCGCTGCCATTCCAGAATTAGACCGCTGATCCTATAGAAAGACAGCATGGAACCGGCGTTTCAGCACCATGGACAAGAACACAGCCCGGCTACTCTGAGGAGGCGGGGAGCGAAAAGCAGGGCTGGGAGGAGGCGGGGCCCTGCATCCGAGGGCGGGGTTGGGGGCGGGGTTCGACTTTGGTGCTAATGTAATGGGGCCCGCACGTCTTGGCTTGGTCTCTTCCGCCCCCTTTCCATCTGCGAAGGTTGCCTGGGAATCTGGTTCCCTTCCTGCCTCCTCTGACTTCCATCTCTGTGCTCTGACTTCCAACCCGGCACTGGCTGCCTCGTGAACGGAGCTGGGCTCTCACGCAGTTTAGGGAACGCTGGGCAGAATTCCCGACTTTCAAAGCCTAGGTGTGCTCTGCCGAACACACTCACCCTTTGCACAGTTCAATGAAGTGTGCAAACCCCAGCACACTGATATTTATTTAAATTGTGGGTACACGTGGGTCCCACTTTGTGTAAATCTTATGTATGGGAATCCGAATTGTTTACAACATACGGTTTAGAGGAGGACCTCATGGACCCCCAGGCGTTCATGGATGGACTTCCAGATGGCCTCAGAATTCTCTGGATGTGTGCAATTTTTTTTTCTTTTGTGTGTGTGTGCAAAAATAGGTAAGCTTTTAATTTTCTGAGGAACAGTGTAGATGTCCTTTGATTCTCAAAGGGCTCACGAGGGTGAAAAAGTTACGGGAACTTCTGGGCTAAAAGGTCGTCCAGCTGAGGGAGACATTCCCTGTTGTGTGTCTGTGGGCCGTCCCGTCACTGCGCAGAGTCAAATTCTAGCCTCCTCACGCCCGTGTCCCCCCCCCCCCCTTCAAAGGCTGGGGGAGCAGCTCCTTTGACCGCCCTTCCTTCCCCGTCTCCTGCTCTTGAAGCCTCTGTTTGCGAATGGGGACGCCTGCCGGTCCACACATAGTCTGAGCTGTGACCTGCCAAGCTCACTAGCACCCCTAGTAATTTGTAATAGATTTCATTGTAAACATTTGTTCTGGGCACGCATTTTCAAAAAAAAAAAGCACTTTAGTTTTTGGAGCCTAAGGGTCAGAGTGCAAGGAAAACCATTACTCCAAAATAGGAAGAGAACCCATTTGCAGGAGGTCACTGACCCCCACCCAGCACGGAAACCTCTGTTGTCAGATACTGTTCAGCTGCAAGTGATTCTGCAGCACCAAGGGCTGTGGGAGGGGCTGGGGCTCACAGTTGCTGCTGGCCCGTGCCACCGTCCTGCGCGTGGAGGGTGGGTCTTTTGAACCGATTAGTGTTCGGGGCAGTGTGGCCGTCTCCCTGCAGTTCCTAGAGCCCCTCGTGACGTGCTGCACCAGGGTCAGGGCTCCAGCTGGTGCTCAGGCTGGCTCGGTGGGGTCCAGGCCCGAGGCTGAGTTTGAGACCTTGGTCATACAGGGGCTCAGTCTCCGGTAGGCGTCAGGGATCCGTCGGGGCCCAGGGTCAGGGCTTGGTCTGGAGTTGGGGTCAGGCCTCAGGTTAGGACTGTGGTCGGTCCTCAAAGGTCGGGACGCAGTTTATCGCTGGTGCTAGGGTTCCGTCTAGCATTAGGATCGAGGCTCAGTCTGCGGGTGGGAGGTGGGATCAGGGCGGGTCAGGGGCTCTTTCTCAGCTGAGTCACGTGGCCCTCCTTTCCGCAGGTGCCCAGGACCCCACGCCCAGGGGCGGAGTCGGCTGACAGCAGGCACCTGGCCACCAAGCACAGCAGGAAGGCCTTGAAGGCCAGCCTGACCCTAGGCGTCCTGCTGGGAATGTTCTTCGTGACCTGGCTGCCTTTCTTTGTGGCCAACATAGCCCAGGTAAGGCCACTGCAGGGGGCACATGAGTCCAGGCCTTGCTGGGGAGGCCCCCGAGCCCCTTGCCAGTGGGGTACCAGGCTCAGGGAGGGAGGACCGTGGGCCGCCTCTCGTGGTGTGTTTGTGTGAGTCTGTCCTGGCCACGCTGGGTGGGGTGGTCTGTGTTTCCGCCCCAGAACCGGGCGTGATGCGCCCCTTTCCTCTAGGCCGTGTGCGACTGCATCTCCCCAGGCCTCTTCGATGTCCTCACGTGGCTGGGTTACTGTAACAGCACCATGAACCCCATCATCTACCCACTCTTCATGAGGGACTTCAAGCGGGCCCTGGGCAGGCTCCTGCCATGCCCCCACTGCCTCCAGGAGCACCGGGCCAGCCAGGCCTCCCCCTCCATGAGAACCTCTCACAGCGGCGCCCGGCCGGGCCTGAGCCTGCAGCACGTGCTGCCCCTGCCCCTGCCCCCCGACTCGGACCCCGACTCCGACTCAGGCTCGGGAGGCTCCTCAGGCCTGCAGCTCGCGGCCCAGCTGCTGCTCCCAGGGGAGGCCAGCCAGGACCCCCCGCCACCTGCCAGGACTCCTGCTGCGGTCAACTTCTTCAGCATCGATCTTGCGGAACCCAAGCTGCGGCTGCATCCACTCGGTACCCCCACGAACTGATCTGGGCTTGTAGCTGGTCAGCAGGGGGCTGGACTGGATGGAACCAAGTCTCCAAGGCCTTGGGCCAGCTCTCAGCTGTGGGCAGGAGACTGCAGGCCTCCTGGGCGCCCTCTGAACTCCAGTGGGGTGCACTGCATCAGTCCCCATGACCCCCTCAAGGTCCTCCACCTGAGGGGTGATGGCTGGCTTCCATAGTCTTCCCCAGGATGCTGCGTTGCTGAGTGTAACTTGTGGCTGTGTGCAGAGAATGGTTGGAGGGCTCTGGGTTCAGATTAGGACGAAGACAGTCCCCTTGGCACATTCCATCAGCTCACACGGGAGGGAGGCTCCGTCTGCAGAGGTGGGTTAGTGCAGGGCTGAATCCCTCGCTCCTCTGAGTGTGGTCCGTGGGCCATCAGATCAGCGTGACCCCTGGGAGTTCATTGAAAATGCACACCTCTGCCCCCCACCCAGGATCTGCTGAGTCAGAATCTTCGGGTTAACAAGGCCCCCGGGGACCTGTGTGTGCATTCAAGTTGGAGGTGTGTTGGCTTAGTTGATCTTCAGCCCTGAGGATGGTTTGCTGGACACTTTTGGGGACCAGCATGCCCTTGGATGTGTGTGGCCTCACCAGAAACCCCCTGAGGCTGGGAGGCCTGCAGGCCTAAACTTGAACCTCTGCCCCACTACTTACAAGCTCAGGCACAGGTGCTCAACCTTGCTGAGCCTGTTACTCCACGTAGGAAATGGGGTCACGATGCCTGCCGGCCTCATAGGGTTTCACGAGAATCAGGGCAGTGCCCGTGGGATCCTGGCGCCCGGCAGGTGGCCGGCAGGTGACACCTGCTGTTGTTACAGCTCCTGGCCTCCGGGGGAAACAGTGGGAAACAAGGGCCATTTGTTCCCACTGTTTTTATCCGCCTTCCTCCTCTTCTTCAGCCCCATACCAGCTCCCAGGATGCCACACGGCCTCTCCTGGGGCAAAGGGGTGGCTGTTGACTTCTTGCTCATCATCTGGGATGGGCATTCCTCTGCCCTGGGCTTCCTAGGACCCAGAAGGGAACCAGCTGATGGGGACAGAACCGTCCCCTCGCCCTACCTCCTTCTGGCCTTTCCTGGGTCAGTGAGGGAAAGGGGAGTGGTGCCCGCTCAGGCGGGTGGAGCTGAAGAGCTGTCCTGGGTGTCACCTGATGTCAGCAGGTGAACCCTGGTACATGGGCCTGGGTTTTTTTTTTTTTTGTCGGGGGGAGGACTCATTTCCCACACTGTACCTGCTGCAGGGTCCTTGTCAGTCTGAGGTTCCCCTTACCCCCCACTTGCACTAGGCTCCATCAACCCAAACTCCCAGGGGTCCTCCTTGGTGCTGATTAGACTCAACCCTGGCCCTGGCTACGGGCCGCAGAGGGACCACGGTGCTTGCTGGGGTTTGCCCTCTGCCTGGCGGCCTGCTTGAGTGGATGCCCCATAAACACCGGCTGAAGGCGGCGGCTGCAGCGTGGACTGGATCCGCCCGAGGGGCCACTCAGGCTGCTGCAGCAGCAGCTGGGGATGCGGGAGGAGACCCTGGGCACAGGAGTCTTGGGTTCTGGTTCAGACTCTGCCCCTCATTTGCTTTGGGGCCTCAGCAAATCATTTTCCCTCTTGGGGGCCTCGTTTTTCCGTGGGTGACATTAGCTGTTTGGGCGAATAGCAGCAAGAATTCTGTAAGTATCTGTGAAATAAACAAATACACACGCCCCCGAGGACCAGTTCAGTTCCAACACTCCAATTGCCTCTGTCTCTCCTCCTCCCGGCTGCCTACTCCAGAGCTTGTCAACACTGTCCCTGCTCGGGACTTGATTTCCCCATCTGTACAATGGGCGGGGGATGATCCCTGGTCCTGCCATTCAGGGGCAGAGGGAGGAACAAAGGGGAAGGTTCCCAGAGATGCAGGTACAGTGGCTGAGAGCTGGGCTCTGGCGGCCGACGGACGAGTTGGAGACTGACCAGCTGTGTGCTCTTGAGCAGATTACCCGACCTGCCTGGGCATCAGTATCTGCAGGTGTGAAATGAAGGTAATAACAGTGAGACAATCCCTGTAAGCGCTCTGTAAGCTCTACGGTAAACACCCAGTAAGTGGTAGCCATCATTCTTTTTTTATTTTCATCATCACCTCTGTACCTGCTACAGGAAATCCTTTCCCCATACAACGCATTCTTGCCAGGGGCCAGCTCCCACCTGTACTGCTGGCAGACTCAGCACTGACTGGCCGTGCTGCTGTTACAATGACATCTGGGGCCACGGTGTAGCGCACCTTGGGGGGCGCCCTTCACATCACGTCTGTGGGACTGACGCCCCTGCAGATGTGCAGTGCTCAGCCCGCATGGCCGTAAGTGGCTGATCTGACCGGAACTCCCAGAGCAGAGGGTGAGCTGCCCGCTCCCTACTGGAACCTGTGGGCTGGGGGACAGCCCTGGAGTGGACGGGAGAGCAGGCAGACATCTGGCTTGACTGAGGCCAAGGGAGAGTGGCGGGTGGGAGCCTCAGGCCCCGGACAGCCCCCCGGACCTCCTGATGGACGGTCAGACGTCACGGCTGTGACCCCTGGGCGGGTGGTCCTGGGCTCTCGGCTGTGCTCGGTTGATTCCACGGGGCTCTGGCTTCGCGTCCCCAGGGAGGGACCGTCATCTCCCTACAGGTCTCCCTCCTGTCAGCTCCATGCTCTTCAACCCCAGAGCCTTCAGTCTGGGAGGGCACTGGTGGGAGTTCTTCAGAGCTCCCTTGGGGAGCCTGGTGGAAGGGGCAAGAGAGCAGCAAGGCCTATGGGGAGCTGGGAAGACGGCTCAAGTCCCCTTTTGGGGTCAATCCAGTCCTGGGCAGGGCCTCTGGGCCTCGCTGGCACAGCTGGGGCAGCCCAGTGGGTTGGGGCTCACGCCGTGGCTGCACGTCTGGGGGCTCTCGGCAGGGCAGGCAGCAGTGGGAAGGGCGGCCCCTTTGGACTGGTCCGGCCCCGTTGGCACCTGGGCTTGGCTGGGGTTGTCGGATGTGGGCGCTCCGGAGGTGTCTCCGGGTGCTGGACCCTGGGTTTGCCCATCCTGCTCGGGGGTCTTGTCTGCCGAGGAGGCGGCTGCCGCCTGGCGAGGTTCCTCTTGGAGCAGGCTGCCTGGGGCCAGCAGAAGCCCCTTTTCGTCCCAGCCTGGCTTGGTGCGGATGCCCACGGCCTTCAGGATGGCGTCCATCTGCTTGGCGTAGTCCAAGTGGCCGCTGACCTGCAGGGGAACAGTGAGTGCGGGCCGAGGTGGGCAGGCAGAGCCCCGCCCTCCCCAGGGCTCCAAGCTAAACCCCTGGGCCTCACCCTCTCCCTCGGTCACCAAAGCCCTGACTCCCGCTCTCCATGACTCTGAGATGCAGAGTGGGCTGGGAAGCCTCTAGAACTCATTAGGGAAAGATGAAGGAGGTTCCTCTACACAATCTGGGCTGTCGGGGTGCGGGAAGGAATCTCCCGATGGTGGGAGTGGGGGTTCTCGTTCTGTCTGCAGCTTTGGGTCTCCGCAGAAGGACTCTGCTTGCTGTTCAGAGGCTCGGGGGCCTCGGGCAAGCCTCTGGCTTCCACTTGCCTCATTCAGCTGCAAGGTGGGGACCTAAGTGCAGCTCCATCAGAGGGCTGCCGTGAGGTTGCGGCAAAGGCCTCAGCCTGGAAACAGCACCGTGGCACAGACTGCAAGGCACCTTCCACATTCCGCTCTCCCCCTTTTCCTTAGTCCTAAGAATTTCAGCCTACAGCTGGGTGCTTTTTCTCCTGTAGCAAAGTGAGGCATTGTGAGACATTCTGGCCAATGAGATGAAGGGGCAGTGTTATGGGGTGCCTCCTGGAAGCCTCTTTAAAGGGGGAGAGCTCTTCTTTTCCCCCTATTTCCTCTTTCCCGCTGGCTGGAATTCAGACACTATGGCCAGAGCTTGAGCAGCCAGCTTGGGCCAGGAGTTGGCCCACTAAGGTCCACTTGCTGGCTTGCAAAGCAGCAAGACAGGGGGGATTTTGGCCCCTGAAGAGTGTGGAGCCACTAAAGCAGCTCTGAACTGGCTATTGTGGCCTTTTCTTACGTGACAACATTAACTCTTGTTTGTTTAAGCCACTTCAGCCCGGCCTCTGGTATGTGGACTTGAATCTTCACTAAGGGCAAGGGTCCAGAACTCAGAAGTGGTTACCCTCCTCCTCAGAGAATCCAGACACCCCCATTCTTGTGTTGGGATGTGCCAGTGAATGAAAAGCAGAAGCGAGATTAGAATGCCGGACGCCTAACCATGATGATAGACAACACTCAACACACAGGGGATCTTTAACACATTGCACAAAATGAACCTATGGGGTATATACTCCTTGACAGGGGTCGGCTGCTAACTGTAGATGAAGAAACTGAGCCACTGAGAAGCAAAGTGAGTGACTTGTCCAAGGTCACACAGCTAGGACGTGTCAGAGCTGAGAGCTGAATCAGGTCTATCCTCTTCACAGAAAATTGGTGAGTGAGAGGAAATTTTAAAAATCATTCCCATTTTATAGATGAGGAAGGTGAAGCCCAGAGAGGGGCAGTGGTTTGCTTAAGACACACAGCATGTGAAGAGCAAGGCCACGAGCTGTGCCTGCGATGCTGCGGGCAGAGGCCGCTGAGCTCAGATGCGCTCCCGGCCATGGGGCTGCAGGCTTTTCCAGCTGGTCCAGGGGGTCAGAGGTGAGCCCGGGACACAGCCGTCCTTCGAGGCTGAAGGGGAAGGTTTTTGCTTACAAAGGAGACAGGAAAACACGGGGAGGCGGGTGTGAGCGATCTTGGGAAACGATACACAGGCCTGGCTGGTGACATCTGCATTTCCACGTGATCGCAGTGGGTTCTGCAAACAGTTTTTCAGGAACACGGGAACAGAGTTCGCCGTACAGTTTCGATATTGTCTCATCACCAGGGCCTGCCTACTTCTTGTTCTTTCCCAACGTTTTTAAGTAGTGTTCGGTGACAGGGCACACACATACACACACAGGAGCTTTCAGATCCCCGGGGTCGGGGTGGAGGTCAGGGTGGGGCAGCTCCCTCCCACGGACGTTTTGAGTGGCTGTGTGGCATGAGAAAGAGCCTACGTTTGGGATCTGAGAAAAGGGGGTTTGGTTCTGTGTGTTTCCACTAACTGGGCGGGTCCTTCCAACGGCCAGAAGCCCAGCTTCCCCGTCTGTAAAATGAAGATGGCGCCCGTGCTGAGCTCCAGCAGCCAGCTGGCATTTCCTTTGAGACACGAAGAGTTCAAGACCCTGGGCTGGGTCTCTGCCCCCAGAAGCCTCATGAGGTGGTCCCCTGGGGTGGCAGAGTTCCCCCACCCACAGCAGTGTGGTCCCCACACTAGGAGGCAGCCTGGCTTTGGTCTGCCTCACTCACCCCAAATTGCCCCTACCAGCCCCTCCCTCACTCCTGGCTCAGGCGTGCCCTCAGACCAGGAGCCACCTCAGACCACATCTGGGGCGTGTGGGGCGGGTGGCTGACCTCGGAGGTGGTTCACAAAGGGCCCGGCCCCCTGCAAGAGGAGGCAGGTCCTGCAGGGGCAGCCCGGGCTTCCCCTAAACACAGTAAGGCAACTCTTTTGCCAGCAACCTCTCCTCCGGCAAGAATTTTCAAGGAAGAACAGGAGGGAGGCACAAAGGCAGTGCTAATTACTCTAATTACCCCAACGAAGAAAGCACTGCTTTTTGTGATGTTCTCCTAATATGATAAAGAGCTATTATTAGGCGAGAGCTGGGAAGCTGCCATCAAGGCGGGCAGAGGGGGGAGCTGTTCCGGAAGCTGCTGGTCCGACGGGAAGAACCGAAGGTGCTGGCAGGAGAGGAGGGAGCTAGTGCTAAATGAGGGCCTACTACGCACCAAGCACTTCACATGTGCTGTCCTGGAAGGTAGGTGATTTCCCCTATTTCACAGATGAGAAAAATAGGCACAGAGAGGTTAAGTAACTGGCCCAAGGTCACACAGCCACCAATACACCAGTATACCAGTGGCTGAGGCAGGATTCTAGGCCAGGCTTCCCTGGTGCCAAAGGCTGTGCCCTGCCCAGTGTATCCCATTCAGAGACTTCCCAAGGCAGAAGCCGGATCTTGTGCGGGCTTGTGGAATTTAACAGGGATTTTCATTTAAAAGGAACTTTCAGCTGTTCCTCCTTCTGGCAGAGGGAGGAGACTCTCGGGGTGGCGCGGCACAAAGTCACTTCTCCTCTTCCCCACTTCAGGATAAGGGGCCCTTAAATAGGACACAGACCCCTGGATATGCGTCAGGAGGCACCTCGCTGATCCAGTGGTTCCCTGTCTCATTACCCAGCTTCCCTTGCTCCCACGTTCCCCGCTCTGCGCCCCACAGTGGCACAGCCAGGCCTTCAGGTGCTTCTGCTGTGGTTTGGCCTGAGTTCCCCCACCCGAGTCCTGCGGTGACGTCTGGGGACACAGACTGTCCTGACTAGTCACCTGGGGGTAGGGGGGGGCGTGGGGGGGGGACACTGGGCAGAGGAGTGGGGGGAGGGGAGGAGAAGGGAGTGGGGGGAGGGGAGGAATCTAGGGGCCAGAGCATGGGCTCTGGGGTTCAGGTGCAGGCTATTAGTCACTAGCTGTGTGATAGACTCTTAAGCCTCAGTTTCCTAATCTGTGATATGGGGGTAATTAGGCCTGCCCAGAGGCTGTGTGAGGGTTAGTGGTGATTCAGGTAAAGGGCCTGGTGACAAACCCATGGCACAGGGATGCGGCCACAGGTAGGAGTCACCTGTTCCCAACAAATGCTGCAATCTCCCTCCTCCCTGGTGGAATGGGCCAGGCCTAGTGTCCCTGGGGCCGGGGCTTGCTGGGTTGGTTAATGGATTCCCCGCCCCCACCCCGCAAACGCAGAGCCCTGGGGGTGGCGGGAGGAGGGGAGCAGGTGCTGGGACTCACGATGGAGGACAGGTCCACGTTCTCCACCCTCCTGTCCTGCAGCTGCACGGGCTGCAGGCCGGCGACGTGGAGCTGCACCGAGGACGTGCGGTACACGAAGCTCAGCAGCCAGTCTCCCCTGCAGGCACAGAGTGGGCGAACGTCAGCCTCAGGAGCCCCAGGACGAGGGCGGGCCCCGCCTGGCCCTGGTGCCTCTGTGGGAAACCAGGGCCCTGACTGCACCGTGGGGTGGGGTGGGAGCAGCAGAGACCCTTGGGAGTGCTGCCCGGGGCAAGGGAGCTGCACGCAGGGGTCGGCTCTGCTCCCTGCTGGGTCCCCAGAGCCGAGAACCGTGCCTGGCATGCAACAGGTGGGTTTCTAGTGCATGGACGAATGAACAAGGAGGCTGGACGAAGGTCTGGACAGGTCCGTGTGTGGAGCAGGAGAGCTGCTGTCAGCTCAGAGGGGTCCCGGTTCCCTGGGGGCCGGTCCTGGGCTCCCCGGGAAGGAGAGAAAGGCAGCAGGCTCCTTCTGGGGCAGAGCACCATTGGAACTGGGGGCCACCATGCTCTCCTGGGAGGAACTCTGGGCCTAGTCCCCAGTTTGCCTGCGAGCTGAGAGGGCAGCTCTGCCCTGAGCCCGGCCTGACCTGGCCTTATGGTCTCCCTGTCCTTGGCCGTCCCAGAGTGGGTGAGGATGGCCGCCCATCAGGTCACAGCCCTGGGAGTGCTTCTCTACTTCTGTGGGTGCTCTGAACCCCATTCCCTGCACCCGCACACCCCGGTCAAACACACCCCTACACCATCGAGAGAAAATGACCCTGGACCCTCCGCCGCCTGTTCCTTCAGGGGCAAGAGCACTGCCGGTGGAGGACCCGGTCTGAGGTCTGCGAGACAGCCGTCCTTCGCGGGCCCTTGAGCTTTGTCCTGGGGTGAAGCTGGGCCGGCCCAGAGCCATGCACTTGACCTCCCACTCGGCAAGCCCACACATGTGAAGGCTCCTATCCTCCCCTCTGCATCCGGGACTTAAGTCCAACTTAGCCCATCTGGTTGTCTTCTATGTAGACCAATTCCACGCTGGTGTGTGTGGCAACTTAGCCCACTCTTGTGTTGCTTGTTTGAAAGAAGGGCCGACCCTCACCGCAGGGTGGGAGGAGATGGCTGAGAGTCCCCCAGCCGTCTGGGGCCCAGGGTGTGGTGGGGCTCTCCAGGCTCCCACCCAGGGAGCCCCTACAAGGGCTGGCCCAGAGTTGAGGGGGCCACTGCTGGGGCCCCAGCTGAGCTCACCAGCCCCTGACTCCTCCGTTGTCACGGCCCCGCCCCTCAGGCAGGGCAGTGTCTCGGGCACCCTTTTCCCTGTGGCCAACTTCCCGGGGTCTTGCTGATCCCCTCCCTCTCCAGACCCAGTCCTCTGCTTCAGCCCTGGGGTCAGGTACCCAGCCCCCCACGGACCAATGCCACGGCCTCTGCCCTGCTCGCCCTGCGCTGGCCTCACCGCCCCCGAGCCGCCCCGGCCTTCCTTAAACACTCGTCTGACCACGACCCCCACTGCCTGCAGGCTTCCTCTTCTAGAAAATTCCTCAGCTCTCTCCAGAGAGCAATGCTTGCAACCTTCATATCAATGATAATCTTAATATCAAGCGCTGTCTCTAACAAAGGGTGGCAAGGGGGGAAGAAGGGAGATTGACTTAAGTGGTTTTGCTGAACTAACCCTCAGACGCAGGTGCGTCAAATGCTGGTCTGAGCATGGTCCGTGAGTGTCCCTGATGAGGACAGTTACAGAGGAGCAAAGCCAGAATCCCTCCTGCAAAAACATCAGTCTCAATGATGACAACACTCTACGTAAGGTGTACATGGCACTTACACACATCTAGGGGCACATGCAAGAAGGTTCTGCATCCTCTAAGCTGTGCTGAGCAAACCACAGGGCTTTTACTGGCGCTGGAGACCCTTCACCTGCCTCTCTTGCCGGCGTGGGCCACCGGGAGCCAGGCCCAAGTCCTGCCCTGTCAGTTACTAGCTGTGTGACCCCGGGCCAGCCGCCTGACCCCTCTGAGCCTCCGCCTCCTCTCGGGCTGGGTGGGAGGGTGTGCAGAGCCGGTGCGCCCCGTCCGCAGGGCTCACCCGCGGGCACTCAGGAAGCGTCCGGTCCCATTCCACCTCCCGCTCTGGGCCTTCGCGTGCGGGCGGCCCTCCTGCTTGGCCTACTCTCCTAGCCTCTGATGGGCTTCCGTCCATCCTTTCGAAACTCAGCTTGGACGTCGCCTGCCCCAGGAACTGCCCCTGAGCCCCTCCTGCTGGTGTTATTCTTCCTTTGCCCCTCAGGTGCCCAGAACACGCTCCCTTTGTGACATTTGTCACATGTCCCCTGTGTGTCTGGTCCTGGCTCTTTTCGTCATTCTAGGCAGGGCTGCGCCTCAGTCCCGTACCCTGCACCCGGAACTGCATCCGGAACTCCCTGGGGTGGGGCGAGCCATGGCTGTGGCCCTCCAGGGAATGCTGATGCGGGAATTTCACAGCTGAATCCCCGATTGGCCCTCACGTGGCGTGCGGAAGCGTGCTCCTCAGCGACTCACAGGCCTGGAGCCACCTGTGGGCACGGGTCCTCCCTGCCCCTCCTCCTCCCACCACCTTCCACCCACACGGTGCCTGCAGCACAGACCTCAGGGAGCCCCTCGGGGGCTCAGGGTGAAATGCTCTCCTCCTGGAGTGAGACGGGCCTGCCTGACGTCCCTTCCTGGCTCTGCTGTGTGATCTGGGTCAAGTACTTGACTCTCTCTGAACTTCAGTTTCCTACGGTACCAACACGGAGCAGAGCCACTTGCTGGCTAGCTTCCAGGGTGTTCACGACAGCCCAAGTAAGAGAAAGAATTTGCATAGAGCTTTGTGAATGCGCATTATAAATTTGTAAGTGCACACAGTGGGGTAGTGCTGGCCCGAAGCTCCCCCCACCCCCTCCCCCACATTTAAGGAGGCTCATGGCAACTACGATGCCTCCAGGAGCCAAGGATACAAATGTCTGATTGGTGCTTAATTTACCGAGAAACTACAATTATGGTTCTGGTCTGTTCCTTTTCTCTTCTCTCCTTCCCCCTCCTCCTGTCTTTCTCTGGAGAAATGGCCCAGGACTTCACAAAATAATTGGAAAGCAAGCTTATTAGCCTCAAGTTCTCAATAGAACAGATGGGTTTAATAAGGTTTTGTTGATCTCATACTGCACACATGCAATTTTAATTCCTTCCTTGCTGTTTATGAAAAGCACCAAAAAGTCATGTGCTACGCGGGTATGTCCAGCATTAGCACTTCTAATCGCTGTTGTTTAGTGAGCACCTACCAATGCCAGCCCTCTTCCTACAAAATCTCACTTAATTTTCCTAGAACCCGTGTGCAGAGGGGACTATGAGTCCATTTCATAGGCAGGAAGACTGGGATTCAGGGTTGTTTGTCCAAAGTCATACCTCAATAGGAAAACGGTGGAGCCAACACTTTTTATCCACATCCGAGGATATGCATTTATTGATTTGAGAGAGAGGGAGAGGGAGGGAGAAAGAGAGAAACACTGACTGGTTTCCTCCCATACGCGCCCTGACCAGGGATCAAACCCGTGCCTAGGTGTGTGCCCTGCCTGGGAATCGAACCTGCAACCCTTTCTGGTGTCTGGCACAACGTTCTCATCAGCTGAGCCACCTGGCCAGGGCAGTGGAGCCAAAATTTTTACTGAGGATAGTCCGCCATCAAAGGCTAGTCCATTCTTTTTCAAACTGTCCTTACGTAAAAAGTCAAATTAAAGTCTCTTTCATGCCCTACTTCCAGTGCCTGTGCGTTCCTTAGGGGGGCGCCGCTATCAGTCTCGGAGGGTCTCTGGGCCTCCCGGCGCAGCGTCAGAGGGACGGGCACATACGCATGCGCAGACGTTTTCTCCGAGAACGAGACCGCGGTACGCACGGCAGCGCTCGCTTTTTCTCCCTTGAGCTAGTCCCTCCGTTTACGGTAATTTAGGTTGTTTTCATGTTTAAATTGTAAATAAAGCTGCAACTACCCACTTTTTACAGCCCTCTCTGTGCACGCGTGTGTCTAGCATAATCCGGATCTTAGAAGTCAAATTTGGGGGGAGCTCAGAAACTTGGCACATTATAAAACTTGAATTTTGATAGATATTGTCAATTGTCCTCCAAAAGGGATTTACTAACTTCAGCTGCCGGCCAACTGCGTGTGACTGACGGTGCTCACTTCTCCACATCGTCACCGACACGAAACGTCCCTCATTGCTTGATGACCTCGTGAGTGCTCAACCAACCGCAGGTGACTGAATTTAAGCTTCATTCATTTCATTAATGATGCAGCGGGGCATCTTTTCAGAAGTTTACTGACCGTGTGTATTTATTCTGTGGGTTTCTGTGTACATATCCTTTGGCCATTTTCTTATGTATATATTTTTCTTACTGATTTGCACGAGCTCCATACACGCTACGGCTCTTGGTCTTTTGATTCTCGGCTCTGTTTACCACGCCCTGATTCTCAAGGCTGGGCTGGGCGTGCCTGCGCTGGAGACCAGCAATAGGCTGCACCTGCGGCCTGCTCCACGCCCTCTGCCGATGGCTGCAAACCACCTTCACCTCTAGCTCTGCGGAACACAGCTACTCCTGTGGGCTAAGTACCCAAATGGTAAAGACTTCCTAATCTATTCCAACTTCAGGTCCTGGACTTACTTCAGGATGGCTGGCCTTCGATCAAATTTAAAGTTAATTGGCCTTTTGACATAACCTCTCTGAGCCTCCGTTTCCTTACTTTTAAGACTGGATTCATAACACCAACACCGTGGTGTTCCGGGAGGGTTAAAGGAGGTAGTTATAACAGAGACAGGGTCTGGCAGGTGGGAAGAGTCTAATCCTTGCTGTATCCTCCCCCTTCTCCATTGCTCCTCTGCTTCTATATGGCACTTTCAGGTGTTTAAAAACAAGGGTTTCCATGTGTCCCTTCAATGAGACACAAGCATCTCTCTCACGCGTCCATGTGTGTGTTCCCACGTCCAGCACCAGGTCGCGGGCACAGTGCGTAGGGTGATGCTGAGTTGCCCCAACCTCAGGCCGGAGCCCCTTCCTCCTGCCACCCTGAAATGGACTCCCAAGCCTGGGCAGTCCAGCGTCTCCTCTCTCTCCACTTCGCCTGTCAAAGGGTCTCCCGGGTCCCTCCAGCGGTAGCTGAAACCGACGAGCCCGCGGCCTTTGCCGCAGTTCCAGTCCTCTGCGTTCTAAGGTGTGCTTCCAGCTGCCTTCTGGAAACTTCCCCAACGAGTCCTACCTCCTTATTTTTTTATTGTAATTTTAAAAGTTGTATTACTGGCGCTGGCCACCTCCCACCAACACTCCAGAGTCATTTTGCCCTCCTTCTTCCTTTTTGCCCCTACAACTAGTTCCCCAACCTTACTGCTTCTTAAACTTAAAACTTGTTCTTTGGATCTAGGCTTGGAATGTCAGCTTCTCTGGTGACACAGTCAGTACTCTGAGCGTCTGTGGCAATGACCTCGAACAATGGGTCCCCTATCCAAAATCTTCAGGGGCCTATTGATTTTGGGATTCAGAATAATGGTTTAGATTTTGGGAAGATGATCTGGCTCGTAGCCTGTGTATCCCATAATACCCCCGAGGGGCTTGCAGTGGGGCCCCCAAGGCACTTGACCCACAGGCCCAGTGGCAGAAAGACGCAAAGCCTGGACATCGCTCTCATCATCAGCTCTGGGCAAGTCTGTCCCTAAACACTCGCACCTCTCCTGGGGAACAGCCGGCTTTCCTGCCTGCTCTCCCCACCGGACGCTAGCTCCCGTGGGGCTGGGCTTATTGCCTCGTGCAGCCCCAGCGCAGGGCCCGGCACGAGGCTGGTGCTCACTCAGAGGCTGTTGAATGAATATCCCAAGTGGCTGCTGCTGCTGTTGCTGGTGGACAGTAACATCGTCTGCACGTACTTAACACGTGCGGCTCTATAAATCCTTGAACCATCGTTGAGATCCTGGGGGGAGTCAGGAGTAGCATCCCTCCTTCACTGATGGAGAAACTGAGGCCAGCATGGGGGCCCAGGTCCGTGTGATCCCTAATTGTGAGCTCGTAAACTGTCACCCTGTCCTGCTTCCTTTGGGGGCTGACGGCCCGGGCACCTTCCCAGGCCCATCTCCTGAGGTCTCGGCAGTGGGTGTCATCTCTCTTCTCCCCCCACAGCCTTGGCTGCAGCCCTTCGAGTTCCCTCAAACCCCAAGCCCGGCACCTCCTTTCCAGCCCACAGCCGTCAGCCGTGGCAGGCCCCCACCTCTAGCCGGAGGTGGTTCGCAGGGTGTGGGTGCGGGCCCCATCGTTGTCAGCTTCCGGTTCTATCACCGGGCCCCGCCTTGCAGCCACACTCTGGGGCCTCAGCCTCCCCCTTCCCTGTTCCTGCCACATGAGCACATTTGAGCTCCCATGGGCGTTGGAGGACCTCCCACTTGAGGCCTAATCTTTGCTTTCCAGTTTTTGTCCCGTTTACCAATGTAAGCCCCTCCCCCAGATCACAGTGACAAGCCTGTCTCTCCTGTAGGCTGGTCTCAGGCCTGACACCGAGAGACTGTTTTCAGGATCTTCATTCTAGGGGGATAGAGGCTTCCCAGCTCAGAGCACTGACAGGCCAGGGCCCCCTGGTCCCCGTGTCCCCAGCACAGGGCCTGGGTATGGTAGCCGCTAGGTGTCCCCTCCCCCTGGCGGGGGCTTGAACAGACCTGCAGTAACCGTTGACGATCCTCCCGGACACCACCTTCCGGAAAGGCTCCCAGTGCTTGGCGTCCCCTTCCACGGGCGCGCCCAGCAGGACGACGTCCTCAACGATCCCGTGGCAATCTGGTGAGAGACCCGGAAAAGGCCGTCAGCGTCCCTGGCGGCAGCGGTGGTGGGGATGGATGTCACACACACACACGTGCATACACACGCACCCACACCCACATTCATGCATATGCCCATGCGCACACAGTAATGGGGCTTCCACCTCCTGAGTCCCAGGCCCTGGGTGAAGCCCCTCAAGTGCCTGAGCTAGTCCTGCAAAGCACCATTATCCCACTTTTAGGGTTAAGGAAAACCAAAGACATTTTCAAGATCACATGGCTAGTAAGTAACAAAGCCTGAGTTGGGACCTGGGTTTACTCCCACCATTCATGAGGCTCAACGCTGGCCATGGACTTGGATGGGACGTCTTTCCTTAGAAGGAACTGACAGGTCCTGGCTTATCACACCACCCAGTGGGAGACACCGTGGCCTTCCTTGGCAACCGTCCCCTGGGGCCTGTGCAGCGTGGGCGTGAAGAGGGGACAGGTGACAGGCTCCCGGGGCAGGGAGTGCACTCATCAGCGACACCGACTGTTTTGTTCGTGGCAAAATTATGCTCAGAGGCCGAGATTGCCTTTGCCAACAAATTACTTAACACAGGTTCACTGTGGGGATTATAATTTATAATAATACTTCATAAGCCAATAACATACAAGATAATGTCTTTTAAATAGCTAATCAAGAAATAACATCCCCCAGCCCTGGCTGGTGTGGCTCAGTGGATGGAGCGTGGGTCTGTGAACCGAAGAGTGGCCGGTTCGATGTCCAATCAGGGCACATGCCTGGGTTGCAGGCCAGGTCCCCAGTGTGGGGGGGAAACGTGAGAGGCAACCACACACTCATGTTTCTCTTCCTTTCTCCTTCCCTTCCCCTCTCTTTAAAAATAAAAGCGTAAAAAAAAAAAAAAAAAGGAAATAGCATCCTCCAAAGTGACGAAAGGTTGGTTGGTTACACTCCTATTCCAGGCAAAGGGGAGACGAAAGAAATAAAGTCTAGATTTCACTGAGGCGTAATGTTCTACTCGGCTCAGCCAACCAAGAGCTGACGTCTGGCTGCCAGCGCTCATTGAAAGCTCCTCGACACGATGCGAGGGCGTGATGCTGGCGGAAAGACAGTGCCGGCGCTGGCGGGCAAGGTCCTCCCCTTCACGAGCCGCTGCTCGGTCTTCACTGCTGCCGGAGAAGAGCAGCCTGGCACGCGGCTGGGGCTAATGTCCAGACGTTTCAGAGAGCTCGTTAGGTCAGCAGAGGGCAGCCCCGCCTACGCCGAACACTCGGAAGTCTTCCCAGACTCTTGGCATTTCTAGCATAAGTGTCCGTTAATTACATCATCGTCGCTCTGCCATTCATTTGTATCCATACACACTCAGGAGCACGACAATTCTGACGACAGTGCCAACACATTCATCCTTAGGTCCAAACAACTTCACTCAAGTCACAAACACGTGGATGGGAGATATTAACAAGCCAATACGCAACAGCGACCTAACGGTTCAGGGGTAGTTGAGGCCGGGGCTACTCCACGGGCTGCCTGTCCTGTAGAAGCAGGGAAGAGGCCTGTCTTACATCAGACTGGAAGCCAACAGTTCACAGATGGGTGTGCACACCACACTTTGAGAAGCATGGCTCTTGACCAATGAGAGGTGCACATGCCCCACCCCCGCCCCACCCCACTCTGTCACTCTCTATTCCTTTACTCCGCTGCATTTTCTTCTTGCCACACATCACTTAAGTCTGTCTCCTCCTCTAACATCTAGGTTCAATGAGGACGGGTGCTTTACCTGCCTTGTTCACGGCTGTATGGGCTTAGAATAGTGCCTGCTGCGTACTTGGTACTCAATTGACATTCGAATGAATGAATGAACTGCTATCCCTCAGGAAAGCCAGTATAGGTACTTTGCAGTTGCAAAGCCCTGGGTTCAAATCCCAGTCCCCCACATCTGGCACTTCCTTATGATTCTGAGTTCCTGCACATCTCGGGAAGCTGCATGCTCAGTGCCCCCCAGGGGAATGGGCCCAGGAGGGGGCAGCTCTGCCCAGCTTTGCCACTCTCTTGCTAGGTGACACAAGACAGCTGGCTTCCTCTCCCGGGGCCTCAGCTTCCTACCCGAGTGCATCTGTTTTCTGTGTGGGCGTCCATGTTAGAGTCTGAGTACAGTGTTCCGGGCTGACAGAAGTTTGAGAACCCCCGTGGCACCAAGCTCTCTGAGCCCTGCGCTGGCTCTGCTGCTGAACGGTGCCGTGGCACAGAATTCTGAAACTTCGCTCCTCTCGCTTCCGGGGAGATGACCCTCCGGCAGAAGGATGTGAAACTTCAGGAAGCTGGCGGGTTGTTCTGAACAGCAAGGCTGACTCAGATACCTCTTGATGCAAGGGCTATTTCAGGGGCTTGTTGCTGGCACAGCTGTGGAGAACGAGGTTTTATTTCCGCCCCTCCCCTTGGTCGATGAGGGAACTGACTCTCAGAGAGGATGGAGCGTGCCCAAGGTCACACAGGTGCTGGGAACAAAGTCGGACCAGCGCTCAGGCTGCACAGAGAGCTGCCGGGTCCCTGAGGCCACGCTTCCTGCTCTTTGCAGTAACAGCACAAAGCACCGCGATCGAAGGCCGGTTATCATTGCTCCCACAGGGCCAGTTATCCACCCAGGGCCAGGGACAGCGCAGCAGCTCCCTCTGGGGGCCGGTCGCTCAAGGCACCTGCTCTCTGGGAAGAATCCAGCCGTGGGTGCCAACACCCGGACGGCTGGGACCCCTTGTGGCCAGAAGTGGTAATGCAGGGTCCCCGATGATGTCTGTATCTTTTGGAGGTGAGGGAAATGTAAAATTGAGGTGTGGTGGTGCTTGGACAACTTTGTACATTTGCTAAAACTCATTGAACTGTACTTCTGTAGTATGTGAATGATACTGCGGGAAAGTCGCATCCCTTCACTCCTGAGCTCAAAACCCTCCACAGCACCCATCTCTCAAGGGGTAAAAGTCAAGGTCACTGCGAGGGCCTGCAAAGCCCTTTGTGACCTTGCCTGTGCCACCCCTCCCCCCACTCACTCTGCCCCAGCCACAGGGGCCTCGCTGTCCCAGACCGCGCCAGGCCTTCCCCTTGCTGTTCCCTCTCCAGAATGCTCTTCCCTCTGACATCCACAACCCCCCACCCCCCTCCTTCACCTGTCTGCTCAAATGTCACCCTCCAAGGGCAGGCACACGCGACCCCACCCCTACCAGGCAGGTGCCCATCTCCGAATTCTTTTGCCCCATCGAGTTTAAGGCCATCTGACTCACTACCTATTTTACTTTTAAAAGTTTCACCTACGGTCTGTCTCCTACCCGCATGAGGGCTCCCCAAGGCCTGAGCCTGCTCTTTCTCGTGCTCACTGGTGAACCCCCAGCGCCTAGAACAGTGCCTGGCGCAGGGGCTGTGCTCAGTAAACATTTGTGGGATGAATGAAAGCGAGCAGTGCAACTCAGCAGCGTGAACCCAGCGTCTGAGAACAAATGCAAGGAGATTGTTTTTCCTCCTTCCTTTTCGTGTTTTCCTCCTGGTACAATCTCTCCCCAGTGGCCACAGATGGGGATCTGTGTAGGCAGTCTAAAAGCAAATGAAGAGCGCCAAGCGGGCTGAAGGTACACGAAAGGGTATTCAACCGTGGTCCTCAGCTCTTCAGTTGCTCTTTTCCTGAGCTGTGCTTGGGGCAGCGGGGGGTGGGGGGGCGGGGGTAACTGGTGGTACTGTGACTGACTGCAGCCTGCAGTGGGCAAGAATGATGAACATGCTTCCAAAGCTAAAGCTGCCTCAGCTCCTCCCCCACCCCGCCCCCAGACCACGTGACCCAAAGGCTCAAGGCAACACTCCCAAGGAGTTCCGACCTAAGCCCTATTTATAGAATTCCTTGGCCCCAGCCCACAGCCTCAGAAAGCTCAGGGTCTCCAGGCCCTTCAGCTGGTTCATGGTATGGCTCGGGGTGCCCACTCCCTGGGGGCAAAGATCCGGAGTGACTTGGAGGGTCTCAGGAGCCAGTTAAGTGCCTCATGGCTCACACGTCAGGTGTTGGAATTTTAAGACGGCAGACGCCGGTGGGATGCACAGGATTCAGGCAGCCTTCGGTCACTGCGCATTTTCTCAGCCAGGAGGCAAAGCGTGACTACGCTGCCACGTGCTGGCCCGTGAAGACGGTGCCGGTAGGCCAGGCCCAAGTGCACAAGGACGCCGGGAATTGCTGGCCCAGCAGTGGCCTCCAGCACGGGACAAAGTCATGTGCAGATCCTGGTTTTGCCGCCAAGCGAACTGAGCTCAATTACTGAACAACCCGGAGCCTCAGCCTCCTCATTTGCAAGACGGAGGTAATAGAATCGTGCCGATTTCCCGCAGCAGGAGTGAGGGTGTGAGCTCAGGGCAGCGTCTGGCACCGGGCTTGGCCAGGGCTGTCTGCTTCACTGTATGCCCACACAGGCTTTCAGCCTGGCAGCTGGGTCGGAAGGTGTGTGTGAAGCGTCGTCTTTGGGGACGGCCCCTCGGTGTGCCTGTATCTGGCCAGCCCCTCATCGGTCGGTCACAGGCTCAGCTTCAGGAGTTTGGCATCGCTGGGTGACGGCTGACAGGTGGCGGTCGTGAACGGGAGGCTCGGTCCCCTTCGGAGCCCAGCCTCCGGAGAGAAGCAGCCGAAGAGCTGTAAACTGTGGCTAAACAATTGCTCCTTTTGTCCTGGCCGGTGTGGCTCAGTTGGCTGGGAGCCATCCTGCAAAGCGAAAGGTTGCCAGTTCCGTTTCCGGTTGGGGCACGGGCCTGGGATGCACATTCGGTCCGAGAGGCAACTGATTGATGTGTCTCTCTCACATCGATGTTTCTCATCTTCTCTTTCTCCCTCCCTTCCCCCTCTTTAAAAGTAAATAAATACATACATACATACTAAAAAATATTGCCTATTTCTAAAGACATTTGAAAATTATGGTGAAGCACACCTAACATAACATTTACCACCCTAGCCACTTTTAGGCGTGTGCCTCCGTAGTGTGGAGTGCTTTCAC